CCTGCTGAAGCGCTTGATCCATACAGATGCTGCAGAGCCAAGTCAAGCTCACACACTGCTTCTTTCGGTAAAGCAGGTTCTTTTTCCCCAGGGCTAGGTGGCATTACGTTCAGGTATGGCATTTCTTATGCTCCTTTGAGAGTAGCATTCTTGTATAGGGGGGTTAGACCAGATGACCCTGGAGGTCCCTTCCAACTCTATGATTTTGATTCTTTCTTTCTCATATCTTTTCATGAGAAAAATAAATACTAGCTATCCTATTGATTGCAAATCCAAAGACTTCTGCATGTGCTTGATAACTTCATAAAAACTATTTGTAAAGCTATGTTAAAAGCATCATTTCTCCTTCACATGCATATTAATATGCAGAATGGAGGACAATGCTGAGCAAAATAGCTGCCTACACAGTTGTTAGTCAACCATACACATTTGGCATAGGAAACAGAAGAAATCAGGGCCTCTAGTTGGCCATGTAAGGATGAGGTCACAGTAGCTCAGCACAAGCACAGACATAAATTCTGATATTTCACACAGTAGAGAGTAGTAGTGCATATACACACTAGCCTTCATTACAAAAGAGAGAACAAGTAATTGATGACCATTGGCACTACTCTTCAGTATGCTTGAGGGTTAACAGGGAATGTAATAGAGCTTGACTATATTTATAAATTCCAGCATTACTTCTGTTTAGGTTACCAAAATAGAGCTCTGCCACAAAAAAACCCACTATCTATGTAATGAAAAAAAATTTTTTAAATGACACTTTTTTGTAGATTACTAATTTTACCCACATAAACACCTTTTGTAGACGAGCCTACAGACTTCACTTCATAAATCTACTGGATACAAAAAATCATGGACTAAATAAAGACATTAGATTTATGGCACATCATTGCCTGCCTGCCATCTGATAACCCCAGGCAATCTCGCTACATTTTACTGGCTATATTCCATCATCAGGTCAACATTCCCCCTACACCCCCCACCCCCCCTCCACCTACCTGTCTCACACCTATTGTTACCCATGGCCTCTGATCCTCAGTGCCACACATTTGCATTTTCACAGACCTGCATTTTGCATATTGGCTTCTATTCAATCCAGGAGAACACAAAACAACAGCAGACTCACTCTATGCCTGAAGAAGGGTGTTTGTGCCCAAAAGTTTTCAAAGAACATTTTTTCCAACTATTTAGTTGCTCTAATAAAAGATACCACATTTACTCAAAGAACCTTGTCTACCCACACACAATCAGACTTTTAAAAACCTTGCCATATCCTCATAAACAGGCTATTCATTCATCTTCCTAAATGTCTTAAACAACATTAGCTAAAATTGTTCATTTCTGCATCTTCATCTGTTGCAGAAGGAAATCTAATCAGAAGATTTTGTTATATGTAACAATGCCATATACTGTTACTGAACAGTTACTTCAACCCTTCCAGCCCCCACTCGAGTAACATTTATATATTACAACGGGTGCCTGAACTGTAGAACCTTCAAATATATTAAGAAGTATGTCTCAACACTCCAAACTGTGAATTCATAGTGGTTTTTTGTTTGTTGTTTTTTTCCTGAACTTATTGTTAAGGCACAATTACTGTAAGCCAATATTGCAAGAGTCCTTTCAAGCAGAAAAAAATCTTAATGACATTTCCAAATCTTTAAAATGTTTACCCAAATATACTTTAAAGGAGCATGAGAAAGGATCTGCATCATAAAGTTCAGAAGCAGAACTGCTCAGCTAGTAAAGAACAGTCTGAAAACCTTCTTCCATTTGCTAAAATGCTTGTGATTTTATTCCCCATAATTGTCTTACATATGTTCGCAAGTTTACCAGCTGTTTGTCAATACAAGGTACTTTTTGTGATCAGCTAACATAGCTTTACCCATATCATCTACTACATTTATTTGTAAAATGTGACAAGGTCCTCACTGCTAAAAGCATAATTTTTCAGATATATGTTCTTTCAATGGTATGATGGAAGAGAAACAAAAATACCATAATTTATCTACTGAACAGGGATTCACATATTTCTCTATCGTTTCTGAGACTGTGCAATAAGAAATTCTTTTAATTCAGACTAATGAGTATTTGCTGGCAAGTACAATCAACCCACACATTTCAGACAGAAGGCAAGCACCAGCTGGGGTTACCAGAGAACCTGTAAGATGCGGTTCGGGTGCATCTACATGTGATGTTACATCACTGTAATAATGCGCTACAGCAACAAAGTATCTGTGAGTATCTACATATGACCAGCAGCTACTTCACCATAGAGATTCACTCCCCTTGTATAGTGCGCTGCTACAACAAGCTAACTGCTACAAATAACCATTTGCCGCATGCACGGCGCAGTACGGTACAGTACAGGCTGTTACTGCACTGTGATTTAATACTTCTAAAAGGAAGTACTAAATCATGTCTCAGTAACAATGTCACCATAGCGACATGTGTAGATGTACCCTTTAGGTAGCAATGAAATATCAATAGAACACAATAATAATGCTGAGTTTTATAGCTGTTCTGTTTAATTTCAAACTGCTTCCTTCATGTAGCCCTCTTTAAAGTGGGTGACCAACTGATTCATCATTCTTTAAAATTTCTATCCGGAGAGACAGAGCAGGGACTTATGGACAGATAAGTTAAATTGAATATAAAAGTTAAATTTAAATATAATTTAAAAAATAAAGCCATTTAAAATTAAAATTGAAGTTATGAAAACCTAATTATGACTTAAACTTACTATGAGCTATTAAAATAAATACATAAAATAATATTCAAGTGATACATATTTTATGCCTCTTTTAAAGAAAGTCAAAACAGTGAACTCTCAAAAGTAATTGTCTGAAAAAATGCATTGGGACACTAAGTTAGCAGAGATATATTTTTCAATTTATTCAGTTGGTTCCAGCTCAGTAGTTCATTCAAAGCTGTGAGTTGAGGCTAGGGTGGGGTGAGGAGGGACAGAAGGAAAACCTGTTGCTCTTTCCCAATCTGTGGTTAAAAACGAGGTGGAAGAGGATATCTACCAGTTACAATTCTGAAGGACATGGCTAACTAAGGACAATCAAATAAATTTACTAACTACTCTTTTATGAAATAAGTCAGATTTTTAAATGAAAGAGATGTTTTCATAAACTTCCTTTTTTCCCTTATATATTTGGCATGCTCAAGGTACAGTAGTTTTATTTCACTAAATAAAACAATTTTAAATGGTGTTTTTGTATATTTTAATTGAATTTGATTTCCCATCCAAATACAGCTTGGCATAAATCATGGG